CGGCCCCATTTGTGTAAACCGTGTAAACCAATCTCATCCATCCATTTTCTTGATCAATGACCAAAATTAGTTTACTTTATTTTAGAAAATTAAATAAAAATATATATTAAAAATTTATTTTATTTCAACAGTAAGGGCATAAATGGTAAACAAAATTTAATATTTGGTAACATCCTACTCGATCTTTCATGAATMWTTTTTCATGCAAAATTATTTTCTTCCAAGATTAGTTTACTTTCATGAATTTTTTTTCATGCAAAATTATTTTMTTCCTTTCGTTCCTGGTTTGATGCATTAATTTCTTTAAGTCTTGCAATCTTAAAGATTGTAAAGCATATTACAATCTTTAAGACTCTGGAGCAGTTTTTTCATGTACCCGTTTCATCATTCAATTATTTCATGACGAACCAAATACATTATGCAACCGTTTCACTAATCATGCTCAAGAACGCCATGAACCAGTTTCACTTTCATGAAACCTATTTCATGTACAATAATTTTCTTATTTCACCACTGATTTGATGGATTCATTCCTTTAAGTCTTACAATCTTCAAGATTCTGGAGCAGGTTACAATCTTCAAGATTCTGTAGCAGATTAAAATCATTTCCTCGTTTCATCATGCACTTCGTTCATGATGCATCAAATACAAAATGCACCGGTTTCATTTTCCTCTTCACCAACTAAATGGATCAACTACACAATCAATGGGGTTCACCATGAAAATGTTTCGGTTCACATAATTTATTTGCAACATGAACCAGTTTCACGTTCATGAAACCTGTTTCATTTCTAGATTTTTTTTTGTTCATCTATGATTTGATGATTTCATTATACACTTCAATTGTTTCATCAAGACCCGTTTGCTGATTCTTAAAGATTACAATATATGAAATTCAAATTTTTAATATTATAATATAATTAAATATTTAAATGTTACCATTTATACAATTTCHTTTATTACGTTTCCTTAATTAAGATTTATTAATAACTTCCATATTTAATAGAAAATATTGTAAATGACTGAAATACTCTTATTGATTAATTTTAATTAGAAAAAAATAGAATTTTCCTATTGGTCGAAATTGGTTTACACGGTTTCTTAGAAATGCACGATTTTCATTTGAACGTACCCTTATATATATATATATATATACACATACATACTTGAGATCATGTGAGACCGATGGTTTTTCGTGAGACCCGTAAGACCAATTCTCAACCCTTGGATTAGATTTATAATCTGACCATCTGAACATTTATAAACACCACGAGACTTCTCAATAATCACAAAATTGCCACCGTGCAATTTAGAATATTAGATCATTAACTTAAAAAGTTGATCAATGAATATAAAATGGTCTTACTGGTCTCACGAAAAACCATTGGTCTCACGTGAACCCAACCATATATATAGGGTTGGGTTCACGTGAGACCAGCCTGTTTTCGTGAGACATGTGAGACCACATTTTTACACATAAACTTCACAGCAAAAACACTGTAAGTGTTAAAAAAAAGTCGAACATTCACAACAAAAACACTGTGAAGGTTAAAAAAAGTCACCTTCACAGCATTTTGCTGTGAAGTTTCAAGTGTAAAAAATTGGTCTCACGGGTCTCACGAAAACATGCTGTTCTCACATGATCCCAAGTCTATATATATATATATATATATATATATATATACATTTTGACATATTTGATTTGATGCAAATTGACAGGCTAGTTACTAGTGAGGTATGAGCTTTACTATTACTATTACTATTCACCACTGTAACCTTTCGCACATAAATCCAACAATTGCCTGCAATTTTATTTTATCCAAGATTTTGACAAATTTCACATGCTTCCCTCTTCCTTTAAACAATTCCCTTTTAATCCCCTCCTTTCTTTTATTAATTTCAACTTTATTTATTTTTTTTAAATATTTTTAATCAAAACCAAAATCCAAACATTTGATTTGGAATTAAACTTTAACAAAAGTGTTTAACTTAAGGTAAATTATAAATAAAACTAAGGGCCCGTTTACCAAACGCTTATCCGTGTAAGCGCTTACCAAAATCACATTTAAGTGAGGGCGACGACTCTTAAATGGTAAGTGCTTACAGGGTAAATTGTTGCATACGATGCTGTTTTGGTATACTAAAATCTTACCCAGTAAATAAAGGATTATATTAAATTTTACCAGTAAACGCTTATCGGGTAAGTGTTTGGTAAACGACCCCTAACTTATAAAAGAAATTTTGTTTTTCTTAATTCTTTAAAAACATAAACATAAGGCTACTTTATACAACATTTTCAACAGATTTTTCAAAATAGATAGAATAAAGATTTTATAGATACTTTTATTTTAATAGATTTTTCAAAAACTTTCTCCAAAATGATTATTTAGAAGTAAAAAAAAATAATATTTTATTATTTCAAAAATCAAATAATTAAAAAAAATATTTTAATAATATAATTAATATTTGGGATTTTGTTCCAATAAATTTTTACAACTTTTCTCTATAAATGGAAAAGTTAGAAGAGTCTCAAAATTTTTGAATTAAAAGAATCTCCAAAAATTACAATTAAAAGAAAATTAATTATATTTTATTATTAAAAGATATTGAAATTAAAAGTTTAGAAGAAAGATAATATTTTAATAATAAAATTAATAATCGAATAAAATATTGATTCGTCAATTTGATGAGACATTTTTTTTAGATTTTTAGATATATAACTTTAAAATAAGATTTAAATTCATGATCTTTTTATTAATATAAAAAACAATTTTTTTTATATATTTATGGAAGATCAGGAATTTAATTAAAAACTCATTTAAACTCATATTTTTAAATTATCATTTTTTGACTCATTCAACAGCTAAGGCTAGAAGATTAGTGATCAGACCCAAGACTTATCTTATATTTGCACAAAGTCATTCTGCTCATTTATCAACTGAATCATCAGAGGTAATAATACAATTAATATCATAATCTCTAAATTAGAAAAACTTAAAATTCTGAATTTTGATTTAGGGGTTGTTTGTTTATCTCTTAATAGTTCTACCAAGAGGCAACCTTTAAATTATTAAGAGGTGAATCTTGTTTGGTAAAAAAAATATGTCTCTTCATGGTTTTAAAACCCTTTGAATGATTTTATATTATAGGTCTCCCTTAATCATTCAATGTTCTAATTTCATTGTAAACAATTACCAAAAAATTATATTTCATTTTGTACGATATCATGATAGCCTCTTAACCATTATGACCACTTAAATATTTTGCACCAAATTATTCAACAACTATTAAATAATTACTTAAAAATAAATTATGAAAAACAGAACTAAAATGGAACTGTTCCCATTTGGTTAGGGGGAAGTTTGCAGAGTTTTGAGTTCCAAATGTTGCCCCTCCACTCAACTCTCTGTTCTCCCCTGCAAAACTCAACTCATTCTTCCCAGTTTTAGAGAGAGAGTAATCTGACAGTTTTGTAGAGAGAGAGAGAGAAAACTCTTTGAACGTGACTACGATGGAGTGTCTATCACCTCTCTTCCTCATTAATGGCATTTACTTTCTTCCTACTTCTCACCTCCATTACCACATCCTTCTTCTACTTCTTCGAAAGCTCACTCACCAATACTACAGATATCTTTCTTCTAGGGTTAGGGTTTTTTTATATGCGTAAAAGTCTTCCAACTTCCGTATTCTTCGCCCCTTTTCAAAATTCGTGTCAAAGACCCTCCGTCCTTCAGATTACATTTCAGGTGCGTGTGTTTGTGGTTGTATCCGTTTTAAACTATTTATATTCTGTCGTTTCGCACATTGTTTTCTTGTATGTTGCACTTCACATTGTACTATTTTTTAATCCCCAAAGTCCTTGATTTTGAGCTTCGTGAAGCTGCGTTTTTCTTTTTTGTTAAAATTCGGTGAAATTGGAGTACTAATTTGTCCATCTTCACTCGGTAATGGTGACATGTGAATGGTGGTGTGTGATCTGCTGCAACTTCATCTTCGTTTTTGTTTTACTTGGGCGTCATTTGTTAATGTTGCTTTCCTCTGTTTTCTTGTTGCAGGTGAAGAAGGGAATGTGAGTTTTCTTTTCAACTTTTTTGCTGCTGTTCTCCGATAATGTGAAAGGTACACCCATTTTGCTGTATCTGTGTGTTGGGTGTTGATGTTTATACAAGTTTTTGTGTTCTTATCTTCCCATTTTGGGTTCTACAAATAATAATTGATGTGTTATTTCCACTTTTAATGTTGACATTTTAACCACTATAAGTGGTATTATGAAAATGATGTGGGACTGGAATGAAGAAAAGAAACATGTTCACCATTTGATTTTAAGTGGAAAAAAAAAACATACATTTCCTTTTTCTTTGTGATCTGCTTTTAGTTTCTTTCTGAAAATAAGATGAAGGCTTCTTGCTTTTCTCTTTAGCAGACAGCTTCATGACTTGTAAATGTTTTCACCCCCTTTCAGGCTGGCAAGTGCTTTTGGGTGGGTTTATGGTTGATTAACTGAATAATTTTGTTTGGAGATAATGGATGGGCGTCGACATTCCGTTGACATTCCTATCTCAAAAACCTTGATAGCTCTTCGGAGAGTGAGATCGCTTAGAGACCCATCCACTAACTCACTAAGCAGATTGTCGGCTTTTGTTGACAATTTGAATTGGGAAACAAATTCTACTAATGGGATTGTTCTTGAACAAGTAAATAATTGTCTCCATGAAACTGGCATCTCTGAACTGAATGATTTGGGATTATTTGGGCAGAATGAGCATAATTTTTTTAATTGTGAGATGTATCATGGAGAAAGTACACATAAACGTAACCCGGGATTGTGTAAGAATCCAGCTTGGAGAGCCTCTTCTCCAGTAAGGGATATGAAGGTTGATGAATCAGGTTTACTTGTATCAAATCAAGTACCTTTCTGTGAAAATAAATTACTTAGCGAGAGATATCATAGTAATAATTACAAGGATTTGCCGTGCATGATGCCTACAAGTGATTATATGGAGGGTGCGGGTTCATGCAATGAATCAGTTGAGGTGTTCATAGAAGCAGAAAGACAAGATTATAATGGATATAAAAGAAGATCAAGGCGTAGAAAACACATTAGATCATCTAAAGTTGTAGGAGGCGATATCTTGAGCTGTGTAAGCAGTCCATGCTTATCCATGAGTGATGCTTCATTTGGGGGGTCGAGTTCTAGGACACCATTATATGAGAATGATGATATTGATCATGTGGATACTGATCATGGTGGGTGTGGTATTGGAACCTGCTGGTCGAGTACTCCTAAGTTTCGGGGGTTGAACTCTAACACCTCCTCTGATAAAGGTGAACAAGCCTTGCTAATAAGGGAAGCTGGCGTATCTAAACACTATGGTAGTGAAACCACTCCATTTTCTGAAAGTCCCAGGAATCTAAGTCAGAGATTTAGGCCAAAGTCCTTTAATGAGTTGGTAGGACAAAACGTGGTTACAGAATCTCTTCTCAGTACAATCTCGAGTCAGATAATTACTTCCTTCTATCTCTTCCATGGTCCCCGTGGAACTGGTAAGACATCTGCAGCAAGAATTTTTGCTGCTGCTTTGAATTGTTTATCACTCGAAGACAACAAACCATGTGGGCAGTGCCAAGAATGCACATTGTTTTTTGCTGGAAGGAGCCGAGATGTTAAGGAGGTAGATTCAGTTGGTATAAATCAGGCGGAAAATCTTAGATACCTTATCAAGAATGCCATGCTCCCTCCAGTTTCTTCTAGTTTTAAAGTTTTCATCATTGATGAATGTCAGCAAATGCAAGCCTCAACATGGGCTGCTCTTGTTAATAGCCTTGAAGAAGTATCTCGTCACATTGTTTTTGTAATGATCACTCCTGACCTCAGCAAGCTGCCAAGAAGTGCCGTAACCAGGTCTCAAAGATTCCATTTTCCTAAGATTAGTGAAGCAGATATTGTTCACAGATTGGAGAAAATTTGCATAGAAGAAGGGTTCGACTATGACCAAGTTGCTTTAGATTTCATTGCCGCAAGATCTAATGGATCACTCCGGGACTCGGAGATGACTCTAGAGCAGCTGAGTTTGCTGGGGAAAAAAATAACCTTGCCGTTGACCTATGAATTAGTGAGTGTTTTACTCCTATTTTTTGTTCTTACTCTTAATTGGTAGATATTAAGCTTCCCTTTTGGTATTTTTTTCAGATTGGTATTGTTTCTGATGATGAGCTGCTTGAGTTACTGGCTATGGCCTTGTCATCTGACACTTCAAATACAGTTAAAAGGGCCAGGGAGCTGATGAGATCAAGAATTGATCCTATGCAACTTATATCACAATTAGCAAATATCATAATGGATATTCTTGCTGGGAAATTTCAGGAAGGTGCTTCTGAGGTTAAAAGACAGTTTTTTGAAAGACATACTTGTGAGTACATTTGTATATGTGTCTCTTTTATATTGGTTTATGAGATTGGAAAACAAAAAGTTCCCATGGCTTTTCATCTCCATATACAATTTTCATTTTGAAATCATATGTGATCGTTACAGTTAACGATTTACAACTCAATGTGGTTATGATATGGAGTGATGCTACTTGTAATCAGTAAACTTCACCAAAAAAGGAAATACTACTTTTTTGGGGGGAGTATAGCTCTATCTATTTTGTCCTTTTGGGACAATTAAGCAATTTACCATCTTATATCTCAACCTTGCATGCTTATCGAGTTTTGAGTGTGCAGATGGCAACTTTGTAACAACTTGGTGTCTCTAGAGTTATCTCTATCTTGCTAAATTAACTTTATGCCTTTATCCTCTGAACGCCTTTATAATGTCCTTGTTGGTCACATACCTATGCCCTACACTCAACTAGTTTTCTGGTTGTCTTAGCTGAAGCCGACTTGCAGCAGCTTAATAACGCTCTGAAAATACTTTCTGAAACTGAGAAACAACTGAGAGCATCTAAGAACCAGACAACCTGGCTCACTGTTGCTTTATTACAGTTGAGCTCTGCACCATCCTTCAATGCCAACAGTTCAAGTTTGTGTGTAAGAACAGTAGACCCAAGAGGTACGAATTATTTCAATACTGCTAAATTTTGATGGTCTTCCTAAATAGTCATGAATCGTGCCTGAGCTAGATAAATGTTAAAAAAGAATCACATATTATCATACATTTTTCTCCTTTCTATTTTGGTTACTACCTTCATTTCAGTCAATTTGTGACATCCTCTTCATTCTTCTCACCCCTTGACTCTCCCTTTCTGGAAAAATCTGCAGATAGTGGTGGTTTTTGCCGCTTTTCTTCTGCTAGTGAGAGCCTAAAACATTTGTTGCCGTCTCAATCTGACCACAATACTGGATGTAAATCAGAAAAACTTAAAGACAAAGTGGCACTGGAGTCAATATGGAGTAGAGCAACAGAAATATGCAAATCTATTTCACTTGGGAACTTCCTTCGAAGGCATGGGAGTTTAGCTTCTGTTTGTATTCACCAAGGTACTAGTTTATGTAAACTTTCTTGAGTTGTGCAACTGTAACTAACTAATCTTTCTTTTAGTTGAAGTGTTATTCTACTCCCTACCTCCCATAAAATTTGTTGCATCTCCTTTCTTCAGAAATTTTACAAGTTAAATTTGCTTATTTGCTCATATTATCCTTACAAATACATTGAGGGTTATGATTTTGTTCCACAAGATTCCTTTTATTCTCTTTCACCTATGTGGTAATTTCTAAATATTTGACAAACAATAAAACATTTTTCTTAAATCATGAATCAAATCAAAATGTGCCAATTGCACGAAACATTTTCATTTCTATTTTTGTCCTTATTAAACCTCAGTATACTTGATTCCATGCTCTTTTTGTCCCAAAATTTTTCATGCCAAATATGCACATATCTATATCTATTTGGATTGAATTGATGCATATATTGTAATGCAAGTTCTTACACGTGTTACCCACAAAAAGTTGAATATTTAGTTTTTTATTAACAGCCCATCAATCTTTATTTTCCCAATGAAGAGCTGATGAATTTGTTTCCGTACATAGGACTGGCTGTAGTTGAACTCGAATTCCAGCATCCCAATTATGCATCTAAAGCCGAGAAGTCATGGAAACTGATAGCAAGTGCATTACAGGCTGCATTGGGCAGTAATGTTGAGATCAGGATCTGCCATTCAAATTATTTTAATCCAAAAGTTAAGAAGTCCTCATTCAGCTTATTCAGTTGTGGCCGAGGAAATAAGCTGTCTCACCAGAACGGTGGCAATTTGTCTGAAAATTTTAATGATCAAATGAGAGTGAATAATAGATCTCTTGATACTATGTCCTCTGATGGTGGATCTTGTGGTTCACATACTTGTCGTCACAAAAAAGAAGAACCAGCAAGAACGATAAGAAATAGTGATGGAAATGCACTAAGTATCGACTTTAATGGTCAAGATCATGGGGAGCAGCCGTGTTGTTTCCCTAGAAGTGTCAAACCTCAGACCAAGATTCGCTCGTTAGATACCTCTATGACCAGTGAAGCTGACAACAATCTTGCTTTACCTGTTTCTGGATCTAAAACATGCTGTTGCACCAATGATGCTTACGTCATCTGCGGCTTCTGCAAAAAGTTTCCCTGCTGCAATGGGGTTGAAAGGTCAGATTCTTTGTTTTACTTGATAATAACCAAAAACTGTAGTGACCTATAAGAACTACCATCGGAGAGAATTCTTACAAGTCACCGACATTTTTGGAGTTCTGATACAATAACCTTGGTTCTCGTCTTGAATTTTGTGTGAAATGACATTTTATTAGTTATTTTATATGTTTTTTTTTAATTTTTATATCTATATTATTGATGTTGAAATAATACATGGGACCCACAAAAGGAGGTTCTTATTAATCACTACCATTGTGGAGTTTTATGATAGTTCTTAATTTGTTGAGCTGGTGACGATATGACCAAAAATGAGGTTCTTACGAGTTACTCCATTGGAGACGCTCATATGTAACATGATTCAAAATGCAGGCAGAAAAAGGACTCGAAGGTGCATTGTTGGAAATCTCCGATGCTTCCGTTGAAGAAGGTAATGTCCTTTTGTGAAATATATATATATATATATAGGCTTGGGATCATGTGAGACCAACCTGTTTTCGTGAGACCCTTGAGACCACTTTTTTACACTTGAAACTTCACAGTAAAATGCTGTGAAGGTTCGGATTTTTCTTACCTTCACAGTGTTTTCGCTGTGAAGTTTCAAGTGTAAAAAGGTGGTCTCACGGGTCTTACGAAAACAGACTGGTCTCACGTGAACCCAACCCTATATATATATATATATATATATATATATATATATATATGTATATATGTATATATATATTCCTTTTTTGGCAGTGAATGGATTAGTAATAAGGTGTTGAAAACAGGCATGGCAGCTGAGGGTTAGACAACAAGGAGCATAGGAAGATTGTGTGGTTATAATAGATGAATTATGAAGATGTAAGTATAAAGTAAAGCATACAAGACTTGATGATAAATATTGGTGCTTAATGATCACGAGACTTGTTTCAGCACCATATGTATGTGTCTTATTTAAGAAGGCTGAATGAAAGAATATGATTCATGAAGAATTTGCATCATTTTGGAAGATTTTTACCTTTTTGATGGATGCCCGTATCATATTAAGATTTACATTTTTAACGTATTATTTTATCTGATTTTAGAATTACCTTTTACAATCGGTAATGTTATGCATCCTATTTTAGAGAAATTTACGTAAATGGCCAAATCACAAAACGAAATTCACTTTTTGACCATGTCAAGAACCAAATTCGCTAAATAGTCAAAGTTTACGCAGAATCCTTATGCATAAGGCATTTTTTCTGTGTAAGTATTAAATAATTGTTAGAATAGTAATAGTTATAGTTATTAAATTTTCTTCAAAATATTTTAACAAATTTTCTTTCATTATAAAAATCATAGTTTTTCGATAATCATTATTATGGTAATGTATTATCTCAAGAGCATCTCCAACAGCTTTTTTAAAATGAAGAAAATGCGGATTTTGAGCCAATATTTTGTTCCAACAACTTCGACAAAACTATTTCCAAAATAAAGAAAGTAAGAGAGGAAAAAGGTTTTTTTTTTTTCCTTCAAATATGGAGATAACCCAAAAAATGATTACCAAGTGATGTCATTTTGAAAATATATATTTGTAGAAAGAAATAATATTTTAATGGATGAATTAAATATTTTAATATTATAATCAATGCTGGATTCTCCAAAATGGAAAATCTGTTGGAGATTAATTAATTCTTTTTAGAGATTTTAATTTTTAGAATTTTTTTGAGAAATCCGTTGAAGATGCTCTAAATGTCATAATCAAATTTTGATTTAGAATTAAAGGCTTGTTGGATAAGACACGTCAACTAAAGCAGTTTTGGCAAATGATTTCATTTTCTACGCAAGGATTCTTATTTTTTTTTTGCCGAAAACCAATCCTTATGCATGTGCGTAAGAATAGCCTAAAAAGTGATTTTGAGTTAAAAAAGTGTCTAAAAAGTGAAACCACCTATCAGCTTTGACTGTTTATGTAAATTTAGTGTTGATTGAATTACTCCTAAATCATCTTGGACAACTAAATTAGTTATATATACACAATAACATGTATGAAATATTTCCATGTTCACAACCAAATTAATTTTGGTATGTATGTGATATTATTACCAGCGTTATCAAATAAGATATTACTTTTCTTAAATATTAAATTAGCATTATAAAATTCAATGCATTTTCTAATAATATTAAATCAATGATTACCTATATATAGCGTACCAAACGGTCCAAAAACCATAATACGTTATGCATATACAAGAACTAGTTGTGTACCCGCGCAATGCGGCGGAAGCCATGAATTTTGACGATTTTGATGTTCCACTGGTTTTATAAGATAAGATTTAACGATGATATAGACTACACTTAGTCTTTACATATTAATACAATTTGAATAAATAAGAGTTATGGTTCCAATTACAGACTATGGATGAAAAAAATTGTATGACAGTTTAAAATTCAATATATTTAAAATCCAACATATTTAAACGACTCCACAAATGTATTCGATTTACATCAAGAGC